TTTATTCAAAACATCCAACCATTCTCAATTAAATCGTGGTAGAATGCTGCTGCAATGGCGAGTGAGCCTTCCAAAGACTCACTCGTCATTCACTGGATTCCACGAACATACTTTATTGAAGCACCAAACTTGCTTCCGTGATTATTGCAACGTGTTCCATTCTGTTTTTACTTTAATACATGAGGAGCGGAGAATAAATAAGGTATCTCATATATGACATTGTCATAGGTTTGCTGTTATAATAATGTCAATCGCTAAATATAAAAGTTATCTCAAGGCCAATGGTTTGGGAAAAGAGGATAGGGAATTCCCATCAAACAAAACATATTTAGGTTTTCCTTCCAGAATGTTCACTTCATAAACGTCAAACGTGGAATGAACTATGGAGACCTCAACGTGCAACTTAGAATTCCTGGTTCCCCGGCGCCAGGTTTCGACGTTGCTATCTTCAATCGATGGGGTCCAAAAGACCTTTTCCTGCTGCGACGAGCACGTTTTCCCTTTAGTACTGCATTCACCTTTCCCGGAACTGGAGCAATAGCAGTAATGCTCAGCGTGGCTAATGAGGGGTCGTTTGTTTTGAGTGCCGGCGCTTTATGGGTATCCGTTCACCTTTCCGCCACATGTATATCACATGATAATCGTAAAAATGAATTATCCCGTATAAAACCTAAGTACATATTATGGCTCCTTGCTGTGCTGGGGCTTTCTCATGGCGCCACACCCTTCACACTCAATCGCATGGAAAAAATTTTTTCATTTATAGAAAAAAGCGCTGAATGCAATGATGGACTTTGAGTCTTTCGCAGCTGGGGCCTTCCTCGACATCCAGGTTTTCCGTGTCCGATGTGAACATTTTGTCACGCAAGCGAAGCGATTCCAATGCGTTTCTCAGCTGGGGAACTGGATGGATATCAGAACACGATTCCGAGCTGAAATTGAGGACCCATCTGGGAAATTCTCGTGAGAATCTCATGAGTTTGTCGTATGACCTCACGGGATCTCATGAGATCTCATGCTGTCTCGAATTACCTGCTGCTTTTATGAGGTTCTGCTTGAGATTCCACAAAGGCTAAATGTGGTAATATGATCTTCCTTCGAATAACATGAGGCCTCATGATAAATATGCGGCCTAGGTCTAGAAATTGGCATTTGAAATGTGTTACTTGTAAGATTCTGATAGTCTAGGACCTGACATTAAGATGGTTTTCATATTTCAGGCCTATCCGCCCAATGTGAAAAATATTGGCCTACACCCCACATAGGGCCAAAGAGACAGAAAATGATTTCATGATCATAGCTTTAATTTTCAATATAGATCCAAATTAGGTTAAATGGAGAAAAGGCCAGATTGCATTGCTAAATATGATACAGAACCAGATGTATCATATTCATAAGAAGTATCACTTATATAAGAAGAATCAGAATCTCCTTGCTAATGAGTAACTCATGAGAATTCATGAATCCTCATGAAAATGAGGATTCATCAAACTCCATCACCGTTTCTACGGTGATGGAGTTTGATTAATAGATAGGACATCGACCGGCCTGCACACCACCCCAGAGAGGCCCTGTCAGGGTCTGTGACGTGTGTGAAGGAAAGGCAAAGTTGACTATGGAGCGAACGTCCAGTGAGTTTAATGATTCAAACCGGCGGCCTCCCACCAGACCTCGGTTGCGAACGAACCGAGGTCTGGCGGTGACACATGTAGCGCGACATTGTGTGTTCTTGCGTGTATGTGCTCCACTGGCCCAACGCTTCTAGACATGATCTTTCTGCAGAAACCTTTCATAGCGTCCAAGAATGTGCCTTTTCGACATTAAAAATTTGCAAATCGGCATGTCGAATGGTAAGGAACACAACTTATCGGAAATTTGGAGATTCGCTCTCGTCTCGCCATCTTTCGGATGGACCAAGAGATGTAAGTTGCCTTAGTGCTCGAATGAGAACGCTGGCATCGCTCATTGCAGTGCCTCCCACATGCTGCGTGAATCCAGCGTTTTCAAGAGTCCATTATTATTTACAAAGCGACTCGTCAGTTCCAGTGCGCTTAAGTTCACATGGGCTCCACGAATACGTCCATCACTGCAAATTCCCTGTCATCTCTGAAATTGCAGAATTTAAGAATTGCAAAGTTCCGTCCCTCTCATTGTCGCTGATTATTTGACCTACCGGCCTTGGAAAGCGCTCATGAACGACGCAAGGATGTCGACGAGTTCTCCAGTGGTTGCATTGTTCGGTCGGTATTGGATTGGGAGATGGCAAACAATTCCAGTTATGATCTATAGGATACGGTAGCTTCCATTAAATAAAAAAGAGAGTGACTTTTCAGGTCGACACTGCAGTTTCTTGCATGTTCCCTGCTTTCTCCATTTGTATGATCTGATGGACGATACCGGGCAGTGCTGTTAAATGCAGCGGGAAACTAGATCTTAGAAGGACAAGGCCGGAATATGCGTTCCCCGTAGTCTTATTTTTTTTTATAGCTATAACCCTAGGTATAATGTGTTTTCTTTTCTTTCTTTATGGGCATCACACTCAACTGACGTGCTGAGGTGCCTCATGCAATAATTGGGGAAATGTGCATTGGCAATTAACATTGGTACACTCCGGGTTGGAATGCCGTTTTGGCTCCCCAAATTCATTTTCTTCAACTCCGTTGGCACACTGCTCCAGTCGCATGATGGCTTGCCAAGGATGAGCAGGGGTCAAGTGAGACCAAGAAACTTTATATATAAGACAATGCCAAAGTTAAAAATGATGAACGTCCTAGAGGACGTTCAACCCGTTTTCCAAGGGTAAAAGTACGTCTAATGTTTGAATGAACAGGTTTTTTAGCCTTAGTAAAGATACCATTTGATCTATACGACATGTGGGTTTTGAATGACATTCGTTTAACGTGAAGGAAACGTTTAAGGTTATGAACAGCTGTGATATCCATCTGAAAATGGTTTCTAGCAATGTTTCCCACAAACGACGCTAGATGACACCAAAGAAGTCACAAAAGCGTGTCGATTCCTGATACAGCTAGAATTAGTCCCCAATGGCTTCCATACGGTAGCCGATCTTCCCCACATTAACCAGAGGGGAAGATAGTTTCATTTCTCAACAAATCGGTATTAAGAGGTAACCCAGTCCTAGGGGAGTCCAGGAAACTCTGACAGGAATGATGTAGGAAAGACTGTTCCATTTGCAAGGTGAATTCATGGGAAGAGTTTTAAAATGGAGGTGAGAGTGCATTTTATCGTTCCTATGAAACAGTACAGGGCTTGTCTGACTTTAGAAAATGACAGAGCTACAGATGTAACGGACATCATCGTAATAGCACTGATTCCTTGATATTACCCGACCATTCCCCACCAGAATTATCCGGGAAAAAGGAAGAAAATTACTTTCAATCCGAATGAACGACTTCGTGATGGCCTCCTCCCTCCTTCGAGCACACACATGATGAAACTTTCCCACTGTTCATCTGGCGACTGTGCAAGAAATGGAGGGCTGCATGTTCGACCATAGACTACTAGAAGACTACGTCTGAGAAATCGAATAGCAGTTCAGGGAACTCATGGGAACTTAACACACACCGCCTCCCCTAACTAAAAAATATTGCCAAACGGGATGAATCTAAGAAAGTTTCTAAAAACGTCATCGCTCTTGCTTCCATCGATTGAGGACTCTGAGGCATTCGTGCGGAAGTCATTGGGTTGCACTTTCAAATAGGAGACCTGCTGCTTCCAAATGGTTTCTGGTTTCTGGTTATGGTTTCTGACTTCCGTTTTTCCCTCTTAGTGGAATATCCTTGAATATCGAGTCTCCGACATTTGGGTAAAGTCAGGTGCGTAGAACGTTAATGTACAATGAGTGCCTGTCCTGTTGTGAAGATGGATAGCTGAGGCCTTCCCAGGAAGATAGATCCTCTCACGATATGCAAGACTAGCACTTGAATCAACTTCCTTCGCTCGATTCGATTATCGATTGTCATGCAGAAGGCGGGACATCCGTCTCTACCGGGGTCTGATTTGAAAAGGATGTCGCAGCATTGTGAGGGGGAGATCAATGGAATTCTGTCAGGAAGTGCGGAAGTGGAATTCCCTATCTTTCGGATGCGCTTCACGGTGGAAAGTGTATCATCAAAGACAATTAGCTCATATGGTGCAGTGATATTTCCCTTAAGCAAGCCCCTGAAACATCACGGCTAGCATTTGTATGGATTCCATATATCACGTTAATGTCGAAATCCGAGAATTTGGAGTCCGACCCAAAATCAATGAATGAGTAGCAAAAATCAGCTTTCCTAGTTGATAGAAGAAAATTTTTCGGCGATAAGAATAACAATTTGCTGAATGCCTTCCCAGGCGAAATGTTCTCAACCAACAATGAGTAGTACGAGGAAATTGTCGGTGACGGAAGTTGTTGATATGGTAACTGCTGGCAATGAAATCATATGTGAATATGTTTTAGTGTTACGTTTTCATATGTTTTAGTACATCATATGTTTTAGTGTTACGAGCCCCGTCGCCAGTGTACGACTGCTTCAAGTAAATCTGCAGCATCGAATCAGGGCTCCGGTTTTTTCACCTGAATTTTGGACTTGCTTTCAAAATGCCAAGAAAAAATGGCGAAGTTTAATCAATTCTGCAGCGGGAGCCACATACGACTGCTTCAAGTAAATCTGCAGCATCGAATCAGGGCTCCGGTTTTTTCACCTGAATTTTGGACTTGCTTTCAAAATGCCAAGAAAAAATGGCGAAGTTTAATCAATTCTGCAGCGAGAGCCACTGAACGTAAGAAGAAGATTCCGGAGTCGCAGCCAGTGGATGAAAGAGCCGAACGGCGTGCACAAAATGCTGCTTCGCTGGCTGCTTCCAGAAACAGAGAAATTGGGGAGGAGAAGGGCAGAAAAGCATGCTTGAAATGCATTCATTCGAATTATTTCTGTCCGTGGGTGCACGGGCTCTTACAAAAGTGGCATTATACTCGTAAGCATTGCCACTATAACATGATCATTGTCATTCACCATTGTCATCTAAGTAATTTCTTTCCGTTTGTCCTCGATGCTGCTAAATAATTCAAAAAGGGCATAAAGCACGACAATTCTCTATTCCAACGCCTTCTTCCTTCGAGGAGAATTCACCAGTACCGTTTCTGATGTTGCTCGTACTGTGGCGCTTGTTGCCTTTTCCCTGAATTTTCCTTCCCATTTTGAATACCGCAGGATCCCCGATCCCAGTTGATGAGGAGGACAATTCTGCGACAAGTGATCCTCGGGATCGTCTGCTGCATGAGGTTCTTCAGCAGCCGAGTCAGGAAGCGATTTCCGTCCATGAGAAGTCTCGTTGATGCAGGTGAGAACACCGTTAATTCATTCCGACTCGTCGTTTGGAAATGCATCGATCGTTCATTGTCGCCTTCTCGAATTGATCGATTGCGTGGGTAAGAGACATGCAATTCTCTTAGCATTCCTCGAAGTCGCAATTACGAATAGTATGGAAACATATTGGGTGCTCTTTTTTGACATTTTTCATATGTGATTTCGGAATTATTTTTTAAATTAGAGCAGATTAAATGGTTAGTTTCAGAAGGAAAATTCTAACTGCTCCAATACCAAGGTGCTACGAAATAAACGTCATGGAATCGTCAGCGAAACTATCCATGCGTAACAGTGCGAATTTGGAGAATGGTGCAGCACTGCAGGTCAGCTTTGCACTCTACAGCAGATTCTCGAGAGACATTCGACATATGCCCAATAGGTATAAATGTGTTTTGAAGATCTCAAGAAGGTATACCACCCTGTGTTTCGGGGTAAGCTGTGGGGAGTTTGGTGAGAGTATGGGGTTAACGATCTGCTTTTACGTGAATTTGAAGATGAAAAGTTTCTTAAATGTCATCTTACACTCTAAATGTGTATCTCTATAGGAGCCTGTTTGGAGGCGGTCGAAAGACATCGGTCATATTCCAAATTACCTCGCTCACTGACTCATAAAAAATGGCATTTACATTGAACCGATAGCGATCACTCTTGTGCTCACGTTAATTCTCTGTTGCTTCCAGCCTTGGAGAAACCTAACGATCGAGTTCATGTTTTTCACTGCTCCCATTCAGGTCTGATGGAGGAAGGCGAATTTCAAATGATGGACGTTCTGGCAAGGAACTCCCAAAGGTCCATGTTCTGGATCCCCCACATGTGGGCAGCGAACATCGCCCATCAAGCGCGGGTGGAGAATCGGATCGAGAGCGACCTCGGTCTCCGGGGCGTGCTGGATGCATTGACTGCGCTTCGTCGGACCTGTGCAGTCTGCCAACAAGTGGAGTATGTCGAACTTCCGATCGTCTACACGCAGGTTCTGTTTCTCATCGATTCAGTCTGTTTTTTTTTTCCCACAATATACAGTTCCTTAGAGGGGGTATATATTTATATCAGGAGAGCATCCAAATCGGGTCAGAGTGAAACAGGTTTAACATTCAGATAGCCCCGTTGAGCAAAAGATGATACATATTAGAAGATTTTAGCTTGGCCATATTTTCAACCGAATCAGCCAAGTACTGCCAATTAAAATTCAATTCCGCATTCTCTTGAGGTAGAAATTGCACAGCATTATTCCTATGGTTTGATGGAAAATGCTGAGCATTCCACGATGAAATAATATGTATTGTAAGAGTCTTTTTCTCAAATAACACTACACAAATTCGCTTGATATCAAAAAGGCACATTATACTGCATGTGATTGCGGCATGAAATGGACCCTTTAGATGGAATTGATCATGTTTCAGTTCACGATTATGAGACATTGCACCTGTTGCACGTTACTCTCTTCTCATTTTCTTGTGTCAAATGTCAGCAGCAACATATATCTATTCAATAATTCAAATTCTTGTTAGGATGCTATAATTTCCATCGATATTTCTCCATTGAAAATATATAAGAAGACGAGTTAGCAGCTGCTATCCATGGAGACTAATCTGGGCATTTCCTCATTAGGTGGTGACAGTCGCCACTTACAGTTTCTACTTCGCTTTGATGCTGGGAAGCCAGTTCATAGATACTGACAATTGTCGAAAGTGTGATAACACTTGTCAAAGCCATTCCACTTCCACGAATTCCACGGCCGCTTGCCAAAAAATCGGCGGATTGAACACATACGTCCCCCTTCAAGCCATTTTCCAGGTAACCTGGACATAACATCCTTGGGTACAATGTTCAGGTCCACTAAATTAAAAAAGGCTTTTTCAGTTGGTCCTATACGTCGGATGGCTGAAAGTCGCTCAGTCCCTCATCGATCCATATGGCGAAGACGAATCTGATTTTGAGCTCAATTGGCTAATCGACCGTCACATCAAAGTGAGTTCCATCCTGTCCCGATGGCTCATTCAGATTTACTGATGTCCACGCACGTACTATCATTCCTTTTTCTGCCTGAAGGTCACTCACGTGATGGAGGATGGGCTGAATATGAACTTCGAGCGATTCACCTGGAAGGAGACGTTCCCTTGGCTCTTCAAGCAAGATTGGGCGACAAAACCGAAGCAGTTTGCCTTTACTGAGATGATAAACAAGAGCAAAAAGTCCAAGGTGTGGCTCTTTGCGCAATCGATGCATGAATAATTAACAGCCTCCAATAATTGGAATATATGAACGTGTCACATGAATTTTTTACGCAATGTCGAAGAGACTAGGTCCTTTCTTCGCTTCGAATGGTTCATTAATATTAGAGAGTTCATGAAAGGGTGTGAACTTCCTGTATCTCTGCCTTCAATAACGCCTTGCAAGTACGGCCGCATCACTTTTACCAAGACCAAAAACAATCATGAAACGCACCTAGACTCAGTTGTGCCAGAAACTGGTCATACTTTTTCAGGGGTTATGACGTATATTCGCTTTTACGCGTACAGCGACCGGTGGCCGTTTGTATTCACGGATTACTTCCAGAGGACACCATCGGGCGCATCTTCCTTGTCGATACTTCATTGGGAACATAGGTTTTTGAAGATGTACTAGGTCCTTATACTAGTATTTTCTAGAGCGAATTTAACGCTACCCGGTTGGTCTTTTGTGTTAAAATTCTTAAATGTCTTACATTTTCTTTTTTAACGACAAATCAAATGAAAGCTCTTAGTTTCCTGTCAGAGTTGGATTTTGCATTTAACATTTTATTATGTTTTCCTCGATTCAGTTGAGCAAACAAAGGACGTCAATAGTTTTATATGGTTACTGCGGGGACCAGTATATAGGGTCCCTGCGTTCGCAGGGAGCTGCGAGCGCGACAACAAAAAGGTTGCAAAAGGAGAGTTTGAATAGATTATACTTAGGTATATATATATATATATATTTGTCCAGGTTTGTGATACTTTATGACAAAAATTATCATTATTGAGTTTTAAAGTATTGCGCAGGATTTTTATTATATATTTTCAGATCTACGTCAATGGTTTATATTAAATTGGGGTAACCGATACTTTTTTTCGAGCAAGTGTGACACTGGTAGTACGAGGCGGAGAATCACTGCTCCAAAGTTACGACGACGGCTTCGAAATGGAGGCACGAAAACGAATAATATAATTTTTTATTCAGACATACACTACCATTAGCTCTTACACGCACTACAACTTCATGAAAATTTCTTGTGAATCCAACAGGATCCGATTCCGGAGGAGGGAGACCCGAACTATATCGGCCCAGGCATTATCTCGACCACGACCCTCTACCGACTGCTGAAGTTTGACGAAGCTCACATGCTGGATGCACGCTACAAGGATTGATCGATCGGCATGGGGCCCCGTGGTCGACGCAGCATCGATTCCCAAAGTGACGACACGATTGCAGTTTTCGAAGGGGCGGAGCTTTTCTGAACCTCTACGACACCGTGCATGCTACCAAATTTGACCTGTCACCTATCACGTCCCTTAACATGTAGTTCCTTTCCTTGAAATGACATTAAAACGGCTGTGAGAGAAAGGGTCATTCGTCCACGGGACCCCAGCACATTTTAGCACTCATTTCTACTCACATCACTACTCAATTGATAATTTAAAAATTTCACCTAACTTTGGTCATTGAAGGGACTCACAAAATGGAGTCAAACGGTATCAAAACATCCGGTGAAGAAACAGGTTTAGGCTCCTAACTGGCAATTTCAATTTTCAGCGATAAGGGATTACTATAATGTCATCGCCCTATTTTGAATGGCTCTTACTTTTCAAGGGAAAGGCAGATTCAGGTGATAATTAAAAGAGAGGTTCCAGTCAAGGAGGTTTTTCTCTGATGCCGCAAGATGGCACTGCATGTTGATAAAGGGCGCTGATGTCGACCGCAGCGTCACCTACCTACTTGCTATGTCATTTTTAGGCATAGGAAAAACCCATTTCAACCCTATGAATCACGCTGCCAAATATCACCTGAGTCTCACTTTCCCATGAAAAGTTAAAGCCAATGAAAATAGGGCGGTGACTTTATAGTAATCCTGTATCACTGAAAATTGAATGCCAGTTATGAGCCTAAACCTGTTTCTTCGCCGGAAGTTTTGGTGCCGTTTGACTTCGTTTTCAATGACCAAAGTTCGATGAAAATTTGAAATTATCACTTGGCTCATGTCCCTTGTCAGAACAACTATCAGATGTGAATGAGATCTATGGGTTCTATAAGGATATTACGACAGTGCACTTAGCTGATATAAATCAACTGCATTACTCTAAAAGCATCTTAGAGAGCCCCACTTCAGTCGAAGTATATTACTATTCAAAGTAGAGAATTGCAATCCCCTTGATGGAAAATATTTTCAGTTGTCCAGTATAAAGAAACTATTGATTTCCCAAGAACTATGCAAAAGGCATTACGCTTCTAAATCGCCAAGAAATACATACCTCGAATTAATGCTTAATGTATATTCCGCTGGATGAAACCATTAATGAGGAACTCATAACGAATTCGTCCAATTTAGCCAGGAATATTTGTCTATGGTAGAATGAGGTAACCGTGAGCATGGGGCCTATTGGAATGAAGCGGAAGAGTTAAGGGTCGATGAAAACCTGGACGAAAACTTGGATGAAAACTTCTCTGTTAGTGGCTAAAGCTGACAGAGGCTCATAAAAGCATTGCATGTACTCTGATGTTTCCAAAAAAACATTCGTTACAGGCATATGCATTTCATTCTCAGTAGATTAATCTCATACTGTATAAAAAATATTTTCCTGCTGATATATGACATTGTGAATACAATATTTCCGCATTTCATGAGTTTTATATGAATAGCGAGAGAATTCATGGCCTTTATTTATTTTTCCTTCGATGTGTGCTGAGTTATAGTTGCTTAGACATCGCAAGGGGTGCATAGTTAACCGAACAAATGAAGGGCTTGCTTCGTTACTTCGAGTTTCTCAAGGTTTCAGTAAGGACAGCCAGAGGAGGGAACGACAACGAAGGCGATCTCACCAGAATCCTCCGGCGTCACGAAGGCGACAGAAAGTGAAGGACGTCTTTGCTAGACATGGATGGCCTTTGGATGTGGGAGTGTCCGTTTTTTTATCTTTCCTAAACTATTGTCCAAACTGATTGGTCTATAATTGAGCTCACCCCCCTGCGAAGACGATAACATTCACCAGATAAATGTGCATCTGCCAAATTATGAGAATAATCTGAACTACATATGGTTTCACTTTTAAACTTATTAAACGAACACTTGGGAGGGTCTCTGAGAATATGACACCCAATGAATTTACGGGTAAGCATGTTCTAGTTCCGATCCACTAAGCCCCTTCACGCTAAGCCACTGGTCCTTTCAGTGTAAAATTGTGTATTCTTTGGTGGCAATGGACTATCACGTACTGCTAATCGCACCTCTGCATTAGAAGTGAAAAGGTAGCCATCGAGAGATTTCTTGAGAGGTTTGTTGGAGATGAATTGTTAAATCCTGGTTGTTCACTGATTGTGGAAAAACAGATCAAAGAACGAATGTATATCCTTGCCGTCGTCCTCTGAGCCACGTAAGTGGATTGACCTGCCTTATCCTAGCTTCGCCCCATATGGAGTCCTGAACATTTCTTGTGGATCGATTCTCGTAAACGTTGGTGTAGAGCGAGAGACTACGCTGCCGATACGGCGGTGTGTGGCTCCAGAAGGGGAATTCCAATCGGCCATACGGGAATGATCCCACCTGGCCAGATCACATCGTCGAATGTCGCCAGCCTCCTCTGAACTCGTCACTCTAGCTCCAGCAAACTTGTACTCAGGTGGGAGTAGGGTCTTGCTATTTTGGGGGATTGCTTCAAAGAAGTACATTCCGGAGATTGTCTTCTTCCCTCACGCGCATGTTTGGAATTTCACTCTGTCATATTTTTTCTGTGATCCTCAAATAATGAACACACTACTCGGAATATTCGTGAGAACAAATATTCATTCCATCAGGAAACTATGAGACAGCCTTGTGACCCAAGGGCTTTTCAAAGCAACTGTCTCATCAGGCACACGCAACATCGCACGTGAAGGCTTTGTCGTTGGAGTGTGGATCAGATTGGGAGCAGGCGCCAAGTCTCCCGCGGGCACGGTGGAGGAAATCACCTAAGTCACTGCGTACAAGCTGAAAGGCAGAGAAAACGAGTGAGAAATCCATCCTATAAGTCCCATTTCTCATTAGAATCCTTGGAACTGTCGCACAAAAAGGCGAAAATAGGTCAATTGTCCCTGATGTCCTCTTCCAATTGCAAATACATACATTTCGGAACCTAAATGAAAACTGCTAGTTATAAAAAGACAAACAGCCATAACTCATCGGTATAAGGAAATAAAAGGCGAAAATAGTTAAATTGTGCCTGATGTCCTCTTCCAATTGCAAATACATACATTTCGGAACCTAAATGAAAACTGCTAGTTATAAAAAGACAAACAGCCATAACTCATCGGTATAAGGAAATAAAATAATAAATAATTCAGCATAATACAATTTTTTTTTCGGTAAGAAACATTAAAGAAAGGTTCAATTGAACGATGAGATAAGATGAAAAACAATGAGTTACTTTTTCTTAAATTCTAAACTAAAATATAACTCCCATTTATTACATGCTGGACAGGGAAGGGAATTGCAGAGACATTTTATGACCACCTTCATAAATTCGATTTATATTTTCCTTTTTAATCGTGCTGGAATATCGATAAGGAAGCAATAGCTTCCCGCAGAGTATTTCTTTCCTTCCTTTTCTTACTACCTTGTTAAATATATAGTCATTTCACATGAAGTCAGCACAATACAGATCATGACACTCTGATTTGATGATATTTAGATCAATGCTCCATACTTTTGAGAAAGTATATATATTTTTGACATTTTTGTCTTTAGTCGAAAAGATCTAAAGATCACGGATTATGAAGAACTTGCACTTTTGTGACCCAGTGGCACCCCTATCCCTGAATATCGTGATAACTTCTGCTATCGTCAAGCCAGTGAGATGCTTAATAGCTCTTTGTCAAGGTCTACCAATAGTGAACAGCAAGTTCGAAATGTTTTCATGAAGACCATATCCCAGTCCCTACGACAACTGTAAATGTTTTGAAATAGCCACCACATTTCGAGAGGGGCTTCGAAATGGCCACACTGACCCTAAGTAACTCAACTAGCAAGACCCGATCCAAAGAAATTCAATCGAATCAAAGAACCAGGAACGTCCGCCGGACGTCCATTGCAGGTATTCGATGCGATCCGATGCGTCGGTTTGAGTCTGGGTGTTTTTCGCCTCGGTAAGAAGAACTGTTCAATATTACTGGTAAGACACTCCATTGCCAATTAGACAACTGAAAAAAATTGTCTCTTTTTCTTGACAATTAGCAAATTTATCAATAAATACGCACTTATTCGATGCACTCATGCGCTGATTCACGTGATATAAGCATTATCGAAGTGTCATAATTAAGACTAAATTATGACACTTCGATAATAGTGCCCCCACTCAGGGATGCGAACATAGGGTATTTGCAGTCTAAAGTCCTTGTGAAGCTTTAAACTTTAACAACTTAGGATGCACACAGTATAGAACATCAACGCTCTACACAGCAGTCGCTCGGTCGTTGTGCCTATTGCGCCCCCCCCATTACCCACGGGGGCGTTCATGCCTACGAAACGGAATTTTCCCTGGGTACTTGAAAAAGTCCCCTTCTTGTAAAACTTAGAGCCCCCTTTCATCCCGCTGGAAGGAGTATGGAGCTCCCGCCGGAATGAGATCTCCGCCACTTTATTTATCGGGATACTGACCCCTTAATCAATTGGAACCCCGTTCTTGTATTGAGCGAGACTCTCTTCCCGTACCGATAGCGACCCTGGGCGTATCATCCATCAGCTTCATCTCCATCATTCTTCATGTAGACGCGTGAGTGAAACACTCAATAGAGAAAGGGGATGGTTATTACGCGGCCGACGGCGTCTTTCCGATCCAAGAGTTAGCGCTCATGTTCTATCCAATCCTGATGGGATCCCGCCGCTTTCAACCTCGCGAGTCCTTGTGAGAGTGCCGATTGATGAAGGGTTTGGGATCCCAATAAATATAGGGGCGGAGATCTAATCTGGGCGGGGTAGTCATCCTTCCTCCAGCGGGATGAAGGGGGATGAAGGTGTTATAAGATGAACGTCTCACACTTCCCCGAAGGAAAGTCCGCTCGAGGTGTTAACAACCCAAATTAGGGGGGGGGGGGGGGGGGGGTTCGCAAGACGTACGAATTCCTCTCTCTCCCGTTCTAGAGAATGGATAGAACAGCCGCAAGGGGCAGAAAGAAAGTGCGAGCTCGAGAGAGCGAGACAGACACGGACCGAGGTAGAAGAAGTCCCAAGAATAATAATTATTCTTTTGGAATTCTGTCAGGCTACTTCAGAAAAACATTATTTCCTGGTAATGATACTCAACTATTCAGAGAAGCGGGAACTATGAAACGTTCCCGAAGAACGTTGCATCTGGTTTGGAGCTTCTTGAAGCCGATTCGTATCGTGCCTTTCAGCAATGCACTATTTATTTTAAAAAAAAATGTGGTCCTTAACTGCCTGATACTTTTCAAATTTTATTCACGACTGACGTCAGGAAAAGTGTTGATGCAAATATGAGGCAAACCACACATTGAAGCACAATGCGAACAATTGTTTGCATTCTAAAAA